TCTTGAATAACATCCAGCCTTCCTGGACTCCTTTGCCCTTCAGGACTGCCTCCCAAGGGACTCTGTTCAGCAGACTCCTAAGCAATCCAAAGTGTGCCCTTCTAAAGTTCAGGGTAGTGGTTTTACTGACCCCCTTCCTTACTTCTGCAAGAATCGAAAACTCTTATCATGTCATGGTCGCTGAGCCGAAGACAGCCTCCAACCACCACATCACCCACCAGGCCCTCTCTGTTCATAAACAGCAGGTCCAGCGGGGCACCTCCCCTGGCTGGCTCACTTACCAGCTGTGTCAGGAAGTTATGTCCCACACGCTCCAGGAACCTCCGAGACTGCTTCCTCTCTGCTGTGTTGTATTTCCAGCAGAGATCTGGTAAGTTGAAGTCTCCCATGAGAACAAGGGCTAGCAATCGTGAGACTGCGCCTATTTCACAAACAGTGTGATTATTGTGTGAACAAGTGCAGTACTCTATTAACAAAGGAACAGGACTTTCAGCTTTTCTGAACAAATTATGTTTGAACTAGTATTAAAGTTGAGGACATGTATCAAAACCTTAAGGGGAAAAATGCTTACGAAAACAGTACCTCACTGCAAGACAAAGATGAAATCAATGAAATTCAGACTTCAAGTGATTAAAAAAATTTTTAAAAGTTAACATATGGAATTTCTCAGGGAAGGCACAGAAACAACCTTCACACTTCTTCGTAGTGGCAAGTTAAAACATTAACCATTTTTTAAAGATCAGTTTAAACTGCAGAAGAGGAACACTGATGCTTACACATGCACTTAGGATAAAGTAGAAGAAAATTTGTCTATATATTTTAATGATATTCTTCCACATTTAACATGAATCATCTTTAAAATTTAACCTAAACCTGACCCCTAGAAATCTCCAACTGAAGAGCAGCAATATATGTCAAGTGTCACATTACTGACAGCTTCAGCCAGAAAACCACAATATGCAGATGTATTACAGAGTAAAGATGAGGTCTTGAATCACAAGGAATGTAACACTAACTGTATCTGTAACAAGAAGATATGAAAACCATTATGATCTCAGCTTAACAACAACCCAGTTTCCTCACACATAAGCTCCCCTGAAATTTCAGTATAATTCCTGTTTTCTATACTGTTAACACCTCGTTTTACCCCGTAAGTAAGGCCAGCCAGACTGCAAAAGATCTGAATATTAAATTTCAAAAAATATTTACAATCAATCACAAATTCCCCAAAGAATCACTCACTATTCAAGGAATACTTTAAATCTGAACAAGCTGCACTGTGTTCTTCATATGCAACAATGACGCTGAATACCTCCTTTAAATGAAACAAAACCATTTCTGTTTGATGATGCGAGTCAAAATGCAAACTTCCACAGCTGCCAGTCTTTTCTGTTGCACTTCCAGTTCTGCCCATGTTCCCTTGACATTTTCTTTTCTGGAGGCTGGAAACGAGTCTGAGATACGCTCACAGTACTTCATGGGCCTAATATTTGTAAATCAGGATGAGATACTGAGAGGAAAAATAACAAATTCTTACAAGTGTGAAGAATTGTTCATCCAGCCCAGTCTAAGTTTTTTTCCTGAAGTACTGTTTCTCTGACTTTCACAGGAATCACTGCAAGAACCTTACACATTGCAGGGGTAGAAAGCTTCTTTGGGTAACCACTGTACTTCTTCACTCTTAATCTCATTCTATCACAGCTAGCTCGCTGCTAAGCAATCTCTATAAAATTAAAGAGTATGAACAGATCAATGTACAGTACAATATTCCTTTTAAATAGTTACCATTTTTAAGGTTCTTTGTATGTTCCCTCGTAAATACACCTTGCCACCTGTAGAATTTAAGAAGTTTTAAAAATATTGGACTGACTTCTGAAAATCAAGTTCTGTAGCTAGCAGCAGGTAACCACAAGACACTTCTGTGAGGGAAAGTGACTTCCAGAAGTCAACGCAGTCTTTCTTAAAACTAGCCTACTTAATAATTCTTTTAAATCTGTATCCTGAAGACTAATGTTTTCTCTAACAATTTTTACCATTTTTCCAAAAGAAAGAAAATGAAGCTTCACACAGCAAATAAGTAATCTAGTTCTGCAACTGTTTTAATATTTCATTAAGCTAATATCAAATCTGTAGAAAAGTAAGGTTAGGACTATCTACAGATGCATCGTAAGAGAAATCAGTTTTAAATTACTACTTTATTAACTGAAAGACACAATTACTGAGGTTCCGAATGAAACACCCATTTCCATAACTGGCTAAATTCTAACATGACCGTTGTGCCTGGTTGAGCCCATATTCCCAGAGTTTCAACCAGCAAATTTACTAGAATCAATATTACCTCCACAGATACAGAGGAAAACAGTAACTGACTAAAGCCGAGTTGCCTTGTGAAAGGACGCAAGCACTTGCAAGTTCTTCTAGATAATACCTACTTTTGGTTATTCCTAAATTTATATTTTAAATGATTCTGAGTAACACTATCATAAAGACTTTGGGAATCAGGACTGTATTTTAGGTGAAAGTCTAAGTCTGAAGGTCTTCAAAAAACATAACATGAACAATGAATTAAATAAAATCACTTCCACTACAGTACAGAATGAACTAATGAAACTACTTCAAGTACAGTATAAAGTTCATTGTATAGAAAGCAAACATTCGTGCTATCCATCTGTGCTTAAAAGCATTTTATGTGTCCATCCACACAAAAAGCTAAAAACTTGTTAAAACTATAATCTGCATCTCTTTATTTATAAAAGGTACAGCAAAATATTAATGCATTAAATGCATACAGTAGCTGTTCCTTTGTGGGAACTACATCTTATTTAGCAGGTGCCATTATGTATCCATTCGTATTGCAATCAAATGGCTCTCATAATCTTTTCGTAATTAATGAAAACCTTCCAATGCCTTGTCCCACTGCAGAGAGATGAGGTTCAATAATTAGGATTCTGGAGGTAGAGATGATCCAGAGAAAGAGGAGTCCTATGAAAGAATATGCTCAAAAATATCAAAGGCTTTTTAAGGATAAAGGAAATCTTTAAAAACAGAAGAGCTCTCTAAAATATTTGCAGCAACTCGTTCCCTTCCCAGCTCTTCAATAGGGAGAAAATGAAAGTCACATCTCTTAGCCAGCTGTGAGAAACTGGATAGCCCAGACTTCTGTTTCCACTTTGACTCTGCCCTTAAATTCCGCTTCTAGTATCTGCAGTCACTACTCCTCTTGCCATTCAAATCCACACAGGCAGTGGGCAGCCCAGTCATTCCCTGGAGCTTCTGCTGTGAGCTACTCATGTTTCTTCCATCTAATCCAGTCTGGTCATTCACATGTTACACACAGAGTAATGCTTTACAGATTTAGCTGTATTTTAATTCAAGCAGGGATAAAACAAGTCATTAGATCACCCTGGTTCCATGTCATGGTCTTCCAAAATCTTCTTTTGATTTGATTATTTTAAAAAATCTTGGCTCATGCTTGCAGGGAGTTGAAAACTTCAACAAGATTAATTACTCTTCTGTCCTCCAGTGCTGCAAGGCTTTATGGTGTTTTCAAAGATTAACGCTATATCCTCAGAGACACAGGTAAGCATTTTCAACTGTGTTTTCAGAGAAGGAAATAAAGATACACAGTGGTGCCGTTATTGTCCCAGATGATAACCCAAACAATCAGATTCCAAACCTTTTTTTTTTTAACCACTGGACCAGCCTTGTCCGCCGTGGCAACCCCTTGGCCTTGTTATGATTCCTTATTCTGACTGTAAGCATAAACTAGTACCAGATAAGCTTTCACTGCATATATAAGACACAAGATGACACTGATCCTTTCTCCTCATTCAAACACAAGTTAGTCTTCCACATAGCAATCAGTTTCCCCTCTTGCAGTTTGTATATAGTAGCATCACTTCTCTGCAGCATTGTAAGGTAATTATAGACAAAACATCAGAGGAGGAGACTGTGATATAAAAAGACAAACGTACCTAAACAAAAATAGATTTACCTTGTTTTCTCTCCTAATTACCTGTTTGGTACTGGCTCACACACAAAAAAATCTTTTTAAATATAAAAAATATCTCAATTTCCTTCTCTCCTTGATCCTGCAGCAAAGTTATGAGGGTTCATTTATGACAACAGTGACAATTGCAGCAAAACACCATGATGTTACTGAGAATGAGGAAGAGACTGAGAGAGAATGTCTACACAATGTGTATCAAACACACTAGGCCATATCCTGAATTCTTCAGTCAACAGTTACACAGGGAACAAACTGGGGCCACATCTCCTCTTTGCCCATACGTTCTACAGTCACTTACAGAAGAGCAAATGTGTACGTGAGATCATTCTGTATCACTAGCATCTTTCATTACTTCACTGGTATCAAAGATTCTGTATGGCATAAGGCAATGGTGAATCAAGCCTCATGATCTTTATGGGCAGTTTTGCCTCGCAGTACTGGCAGACACCGAAACAGAACAAATAGCACCAAAGTGCAGGTAAATGAAGACATTCACAACTTGAGATTTGTTTATGGCATTCCTTCCCATAAATCAGCTTGTGGTGTGAAAAAAAAGCTAAAATTAAACTTGTCCACATGTAAAAAACATGGCGTGCAAGAATACTTCTGAATCAATGAGATGTGTGCACATCTGTGGCAATTGAGGTAGATTTTTTTTTCTTGTTCCAAATATGCTCCAGCATATACTTATTCAAGTTCTCAGCAATGCTAAACAAACTTTCATCTTCAGTCTCTTTTAAGGCAGGCATTTTGGCTCACTCTTTGACTCAGGAAGTGCGTTCTCTTCATCCCCAGGTTGCGTAGGCTTGCTGTTTCCTCTTAAGGTTAAAAACGAGTATCTCAGTCCTCCTGCCATACTCAAGAAAAGAGAATGAACAGAGGTGTCAGAAGTACTTTATGTTGTATATACCATTTTATAGGTACGTACCTTTCCATCCAAATGATTAAAGAATGCCAGCTAGCATAAATTAGGAGTGCCTCAGAGCTATGTAAGCCATCTGAGAAATGAGCCCTGAGCAGACAAAGATCAATTATCAGTTGCTCCAACAGATTCATACAAACAGACGTAACAGTTCATCCAAACAAAAAAAGTAGCAACTCACAAGTTATAACTCATATTCAACAGGCACAACTCATTCAGTCAGTGCTCTCACTTCCCACCACTTGGCTTTTACTTGGAAGCCTCGCAGCTCGGAACTGCTGCTCATAAAAAAAGAATGAACTCAACCCCTCATAGTAAAACTGCAGGCATGTTTCCATAGTTAGGATCTTACTATAGTAAGATGCAGTATCTGAAAACAGACATGAGAAGACAGAACTAATTGTAATGAACTTCAGGCAGTGCGTTCTCAGGCCAGTAGTTTCAAAAATGCATCACCCAAGTGGGCCAAATCAAACAAAACATAGAACTGTATCTCACTGAGAAATCTTCAGCTTTAACAAAGAAAAGCTATTGAAGTTCCACTCACCAAATATTTAGCCCTATAAAGTTTAACACAGAGAATACGTAATCTCCACCAATCAACATTCCGATGTAAGCAATGGATATATTCTGAAAGGAAACAAAAGCCATGCATTTATTGAAGTCAGTTTTCATCTCCAAGAATATAAATTATATCAATTAATTTACTTTCTAAGGAAATAGCTATACTTTGTTGCCGGGCACTCTAAAACCAGTATTTAAATTAGTTTCACGGCATGTCAGCGTTATCGGTAATGTAACAGTGAAACAGAATAATAAAATTAATATGTTTTCTAAATGCATGCAATGCACTCAATTTCTGGGGAGAAAAAAAAAGAAAAAAAAAAGGAAAAAAAAAGAAATTTAGCTATTTGATGTTAGGTAAAATGGAGCTATGGCCACCTTCTGAAAATGCACTCTTTTTAATCTTTGGAAGGCTCCTTTCAAATCCTATTTTTTAAAAGCAGGTTTTGGGTTCTCAAGCATAAAAATTATGCTTTAAAGTTACAATAAAAGCTCTTTACTATTGCTTTAAAAGGGTTACCTCCTTACTTTGCCAACTAAATGTGCACTGAAAGCACCTGGCTCAAGTTCAAGGTAGGCACAGTTTAAAGTTAAAGATTCTACCCCTTACCCCACCCCCATCAAGTTTTGGGAAAATTGTCCCCTATAGATGGAAGGAAAGCTGTAGAACTATGTGATCATTTTACCAACACTTTGTTGGCTTCAAATGTTCTAACAGTCAGCCTGGACAATGACATAATTTCTACCAGTTTCTACTGGGGACTACTGCATCGTAAAGTGCTTCTCAACTTTAAAGCTGTTCAAAATGTCTCAAAGACTAATTATTACTCAGAAAATAGAAATAGTGTTGCTCTATCTTAATCATTCAATGCAGACATATAAAATTTAAAAGAATGCTTTTAGGACCACAGAATGAAAACTAGTAGATTAATCTTGACAGCTTTCAAAAAAAACAGCCATAGAAAGGGAAGTACCATCTTTTTTTTTGTTGATTTGACTATGCTGGAGATATTGTTTTCTTTAGTCACCCATGAAAGGGAGCACCCTGAGGACTGTTATTCCTGTGCCTAAGCTAGTTTGGATTCTGATAGTTGTTTGGCCCACAACTGCACAAGTTTTATCTTTTGCTGAAACTCTTCCAGCTTACAGCTCCATGCTTCTCTCCAAACTGGCCTACAAAAAGGTGCTTGTGCAGTCAGGGATCTTCCCAGCTCAGACATGCTGGCCTTATCAACACAAAGGAAGCTGCACTCGTTTTAAATTAAACTGCGTTAGAGAAAACAGACTGTTAAGGGCACCAAGTTCAGTTTTTAAGACAGACATGTTTTGGTGTTCATCAAATTGACCAGAATTTATACGAACCAAAATGAAATAGTCCATTCAGCTAGAATACAAGTTGTTGCGCAGAGACAGAAGCAGTTAACCATAAAGCAATGAACTCCTTACTTACAGCTTAGCCATTATTCTGTATGTATGAATGCCCTATTTCTTAGCAGCAACGGAAACAAGTTCAGCCCAAAGTGAAAGTGGGTTAATCTGTATCAGTTTGCAATGCATCTGCACAAGGCTACCTTGACTAACTCACATAACTCGATAAGGAACAGAAGCAGGTGACAGTACCTGATGAAATGTGGTTAAATGTACATCTTTTAATTAACATGATTTGAGTTTCTCATGTA